TCTTTCTCTGTCTCTCATTCTCTCTCTCTGTCTATCTCTTCTCTGTTTCTTTCACTCTCTCTCTTTGTCTCTCTAACTCTCTCTGTCTGCCTCTCTGTCTGTCTTTGTCTATCTCTCTCTCTGTGTGTGTCTCTCTCTGCCTCTCTCTGTCTCTGTCTCTGTCTCTCTCTCTCTCTCTTTGTCTCTCTCTGTCTCTGTCTGTCTTTCTCTGTCTCTCTGTCTGTTCTGTTTCTCTCTCTCTGCCTCTCTCTGTGTGTGTCTCTCTCTGTGTCTCTCTTTCTCTCTCTCTCTCTCTCTCTCTCTCTCTCTCTCTCTCTCTCTCTCTCTCTCTCTCTGTGTGTGTGTGTGTGTGTGTGTGTGTGTGTGTGTGTCTCTGTCTCTTTCTCTCTCTGTGTCTCTCTGTGTGTGCTCTCTCTGTGTCTATCTCTCAAAGCATTTCTTCTTCTTTCTATAACCCTTCCTTCAAAGTGCTCTTCTGTACTGCTGGATTTTAGCTATCCTTAATGTTTAAAGGCCTGGGTTATAAACCTTGAAACATTAAACTGAATAATGTTCAACTTAAACTACATACTCAAATAGAGACACGTGAAAATATTAATGAGTTAGCGAGTTTGTTTACTATGGATGGAGGAAGCAATGATTTAGTCCTTATGAAACCTGCCAATGATTTTCACCAGTTATTCCTTATCAATATCCTATAAAATTTCCTTTATCACTATCCATACAATTTAGATGAAATCATTTCCATAGGATTTAGAGAAAAACTGAATGGTAATAGGTCTGTATGAAAACCTGAGCAGGGAGTTGTTATTGTTTTCCTCCTCCTCCTCCTCCTCCTCCTCCTCCTCCTCCTCCTCCTCCTCCTCCTCCTCCTCCTCCTCCTCCTCCTCCTCCTCCCTAGTTCTCAAATTCAGTTCAGTTCTCTCTAGTTCTCAAATTCAGTAGGGTACATGCTATCTCAGAATGAAGGACATTATCAAAAGTCAGCCAGTTAATGAAACATGCACGAGTTGGAACAGGGAGAGGAACTTCAACAATGCAGAATGTTATGCAAAGTAATTCAGTCCAACCATTCCATTCAAACCTGTGCAAATTCTGCTTCAATCCCTCATGACTATATTACTCAATGCTAACAAGGAATGATCATTACTGTCATTTGCACCTCTGTAACTGTCTGGTTTGACACTGCAACCAAACAAGACAAGATACAGACTTCAAGGGATAGTTAGAACTGTAGAAAAAAAAACAATTGCTACCGGCCCGCCTTCCATTGAGGATCTGTATACTGCACGAGCCACAAAGAGGGCTTTGAAAATATCTACATAACCCTCACATCCTGGACCTAAATTGTTTCAACTTCTACCCTCAAGAAGATGCTATAAATATCATCAACAGCAAGACACCAGGACAGTTTTTCCCCCATGCCATCACTCTGCTAGACGAAGTTAGTTCCCACAACACTGAGAAACTACCTAGTAGGGCTGTACTACTATTATTCTTCTCATCTTTTCTATTGCCTATTTCCATAACTTCTTATGACTATAACTTTGTTGTTTGTATCTTATGCTTTATATTATTTGTTTTATTTAGTAACCTAGTATGATTTATGTTGATTGATTATTTAGTATCCTATCCTATCACTGAGTGTTGTATCTTATGATTTACAAGGAATGTACTTTATGAAGATTATGATAATGATTTATCGCTTGTTACTTATACTGTCTGTACAGTGGGAGGTTATGCACTGGAGACAAATTCCTTGTGTGTCCAATCACAAGGCCAATAAATATTTCTCTTCTCTTCTCTTCTCTTCTCTTCTCTTCTCTTCTCTTCTCTTCTCTTCTCTTCTCTTCTCTTCTCTCCTCTCCTCTCCTCTCCTCTCCTCTCCTCTCCTCTTCTCTCCATCCCACCCCACCCCACCCCACCCCACCCCACCCCACCCTATCCCTATCCCTATCCCTATCCCTATCCCTATCCCTATCCCTATCCTATCCTATCCTATCCTATCCTATCCTATCCTATCCTATCCTATCCTATCCTATCCTATCCTATCCTATCCTATCCTATTCTATTCTATTCTATTCTATTCTATTCTATTCTATTCTATTCTTTATAGCTACTTCCTTCTCTGACCATCAAGGAATCATGTTTCTATAAATTACTGTCATTGTTTTAGGGAAGAACAAGATGTCAAATGCTACATTTATTACTGAATTTGTTCTTCTGGGATTTTCGGAATTACATGAAGTGGACCTGGGACTTTATATTCCCCTACTTTTGATGTACCTTCTGTCACTTATAGGACATTTCTTAATCATCATTGTGGTTTCCATGGAACCTAAGCTCCATACTCCAATGTATTTCTTCCTCCTCAACTTCTCCCTGGCTGAGATTTCTTCCACAACATCAGAGATCCCAAAGATGTTGGTCAATAGCTTCTCTGGCAAAAACACCATCTGCTTTGCGTGTTGCATGGCCCAAGGTTTCATGGTCTTCACAATGGGAGCTGTGGAGTTCATCACCCTCACGGTCATGTCGTTTGACCGCTACGTGGCCATCTGCAAACCTTTGCAATATCAAACCATTATGACTAGTGGACTCTGTCTCAAACTCTCTTTGCTGGCATGGATTGGTGGGTTTGGACTCGTATTTCCTCAGTCGGTTGTGGTGTGGACGTACCCCTACTGTGGGCGCAATCTCATCGATCATTTCTTTTGTGACGTTGGTCCAGTTTTACAGTTGGCTTGTGGTGACACAACTGTAATTGAATTTGTAGGACTCATATATGGAGCTGCTATCATGTGGGGTTCCTTTGGATTTTCCCTGATTTCATATGTGTGCATTATATTCACTATAATTCAGATCCCTTCTGCCACTGGGCGCTCCAAAGCCTTTTTCACCTGTGCCTCCCATCTTACCGTTGTAAGCATTTTCTATATGGTGCTTATGTTTATGTACTTGAGGCCTTCAACTCATGGTTATGGCCAACTTAACAAAATATTGTCTCTTTTCCACGCAAGTTTCATACCCACGTTAAACCCTTTCATTTACACAATCCGGAACAGTGACTTCAAAACAGCTCTGTGGAAAGCAATAACAAAAATGAAGATGAGATCCTAATGGTGCATGACTCTTGACATCTCTTGCATTCCCTCAACTCTTTGTCCTAAGTAGAACTCCATTCTTTTGTCCTCTGTCTGCTGTAATATAGAACAGTGGCGTCTCATCTATTTGGATTAAAACTGATGATGTTACCTAGTTTGGGTAATGAAATGTCTGCAAGAAAACAAGCAAGCTCAGGGAGTGCCAAGGACCCGTCATCTATTTGGTATCAATGTATACGGCTGTATGAATGCTGCAGGAAACTGGGTGATAGCAAACACAAATATCTTGCTTATGACAATGAGTTGCTTCATAGATGCATGCTTGCAGCAGTTCGTGGATTTTTTAATGTTTATCTGCCTAAGGTTTCTCCTACTTTTTCTGCCTTGCAGTTCAGGGCTGGGTTCTAAATTTTTTTTACTACCGGTTCTGTGGGCGTGGTTTATTTTGTGGGCATGGTTTGATGGTCATGTGACAATTCTTTAGGATTTAGCAGAGATACTGGTCTACCAGGCTTTTAACTGCTTGCAGAGCTGTACCGGTCTACTCATTTGTTCTTGGGGCATTCCGGTCTACCTATTTGTTTTGGGAGGCACCGGTCTACCTATTCGTTTTTTGAGCGCATTGGTCCACCACCACACTGATCAGCTGTAGTGCGGCCCTTTGAAGTCCCATGGCAAGAGTTTAAACAGTTTTTTTCCTTCTAGCCGATCAGCTGGGACTCGGGAGGCAGCAAATAGATTGGGGGGCGGTGCCAAATAAAAGGTAAGAATAACGCGGGGGGATGGGCGGGAGGGCCCAGCTCCCGAACAAAGAGAACCGGTTCGGTAATGTCATATTGTCATTGCTACCAGCTCGGCCGAATTGGGCCGAACTGGGAGGAACCCACAACTGTTGCAGTTCCTTATCCTGGATTTACAATGGGGGAAAGAGGCATTATTCTTTTATTAGGGGAATGTAGAACTGGGAACTGTTTATTCCACAACTAACCAACGATCTTTAGTTCTTCAAAATCCTATCCCTAAAAATGTTACCTTGTTGGATAATGAAATGTCTGCAAGCCCAAACCCAAACAGCACCAAGGACTCTGCGGTTCAATATATTCTGAGCTACATATATTCTCCTCTATTGGTACCGTTTTGATATTCATCCCATTGCAACTTGCAGGAGGTAATGGAACTCAATGGGAGATCACATGATCAAATCAAAGAGGAGTCAAGCTTTGGCCTTCCTGCCAGTCACAACAAAACACTCAAAAGGAGTTCCCACCAGAGGTGGTATTCAACTGGTTCTGACCGGTTCTGGTGAACCGGTAGCGGAAATTTTGAGTAGTTTGGAGAACAGGCAAAATCCACCTCTACCTGGCCCCACCCTCCCAGCTGAATCGTCTGGGTCTTCTTTTGTTGCCCTGCACAGGAGAATGGAGCTGAAAAGCGGGTGAGTGGGATGGGGATTTTGCAGTATCCTTCCCCCTGGAATGGGGAGGAAATGGGGATTTTGCAGTATCCTTCCCCTTCCAGTATCATTCCCACCAAGCCAAGCCACGCCCACCAAGCCATGCCCACAGAACCGGTAGTAAAAAAAAAAATTGAATCCCATCGCTGGTTCCCACCATTTTCTTATCAGTATCGTGGAAGCTCCAAAACCATTTTTGACCTGGTAGGATATAAGGAAGTCAACCATTGGGTTTTCAGCTCAGCATGGCTGATGAAGTGTGACAAAAATATCTGTTTCTTTTTGTACCCAGATGTGAAAAGAAGGAAATCTAAAAAGCATGTGATTGACTCCAACTCTCTTCAAATGAGGAAATGAAAGTAACCATGGAAAGGGGGGAGGAAATGCCATCAAGAAGATATGTTGGGCCCTCCTACAAGATATTGAGCAGCAACACTTCCAAATTAAGTCATTGTGTATCTTGCGCAGTAGTAGATGGCAGTATCTTCTACTTTTAGAGCATCTATCTTTAGCTGTGCTGTCGAACCGCTGGTGGAAGGGGTAACACGGCCCTTAAATTCATCGGCGGTGTATGTGGTATATCCAGTCCTGAAGGATGTGATAAAGACAAGCTCTGTGCCATTAGATTGACGAACCCAGCTAAGATGGTGGTTGTTGATATTATATCCTGACACTGTGCAAGTCAGAGTAATGGATCTTCCTGGAAGTACCAATGCTTCAGGAGGCTGGGTCAAAGTAATAGTGGCAGACACACCTGTTAATAAAGAACGACATAAAACAGGTTAACAGATTACAGAGTTAGAAGGGACTTTGTAGGCTATCTAGTCCAATCCCCACCCAAGCTTAGAATGTCTTACAATGGCTTAGAATAATAGAGTTGGAAGGGACCTTGGAGGTCTTCTAGTCCAACCCCCTGCTTAGGCAGGAAACCCTATACCACATAAGGACATTAAAAGATTACAAATGCAGAAAGATTACACCCCATCACTTTCTTTCTGAATTCATATTCTGTCCATGTTTTCCATCTCGCTCTCAGATTCAATGCAATATGAAAAATCTCAAGAACAACTATTTCCAAACCTTAGCAATCTTCCAGATGTGGGGATTTCAAGCCCCAGAAGTCACCAGAAAGTAAGGCTGAGAATTCTGGGAGTGGAAGCCTATACAGGTAGAAGTTGCCAAGGTTGGACAACACTATTAATCATACTTTTCTGCGTTAAATTTACTTAGCATAGATACTTAGATCTATGTGGGGAAAGATATTTAAATCATGGAAAAAGAAGAAGTGGGAAAAATTGGTGGGTTTTTTTAATTTTTTTTTTTTTTAAGAACTACACACTGGAGATGAGACAAGACCTTTGCTGTATTTTAGTTCCAATTTGTATTTCATTACAAAAGAATCATAACATTTATTGGGAAATATATTGAACTGATGAAACAAAACATGGTTACTCACCATCCAAAAACAGCAAAATGGCAAAGCAGATATAATTGAAGTATCTCATAATGTCAGATGGATCTTTCCTTTGAATTCCGGGATGTAAGGTCCTCTATTTGAACAATTGGAAAGTTTGACAGCTAATTCGTATATAATCCATGACATGCAAATTAGTTTGCATTTCAGAAATGTTCTTCCTCCTCTCATTTGAATTTTATATCTATCCCTCTACTTATATGGCAATTTTTTCTCATATTAGTGCAGAAACAAGAACTTCATGATGTTAATTGTTATAATTTTCTTCTATCACTTATAATATTCCACGCTTCCCCCAGTTCTCATCTGGTTCAGCCTTCTATCTATATACTTAGATGTGGATATATGTATACCAGGGGTGGGTTCTAAATTTTTTTACTACCGGTTCTGTGGGCGTGGGTTATTTTGTGGGTGTGGCTTGGAGGTCATGTGATTAGGTGGGCGTGGCTAGCTGGTCAGAGTCATTTCTGGAAGGTCCTCGCACTTACGACCAATCCTCGCACTTACAACCCGACTCATTTGTTTGCTTTTAACACTGATCAGCTGTAGGACGGCTCTTTGAAGCCCCGCAGCAAGAGTTTAAACAGTTTTTTTCCCTCTAGTCATCAGCTGGGACTCAGGAGGCAGCAATAGATTGGGGATGGGACCAAATAAAAGGTAAGAATAACGTGGGGGGGGGAGAACCGGTTCGGTGATGTCATATCGTCACCGCTACTGGCTCGGCCGAACCGGACCGAACCGGGAGCAACCCACCACTGATGTAAACTAAATGAAAGCTTTTTAAAAAAAACAAAGAATAAAATGCAGGTTGTCATCGAAACGCAAATGACTGCTAAGTGAATTTAGGATGTTTCTGACAAAAATCTGGTCTTTGTGCTTAAGACCAGTTCTTGAATTCATGAGGGTACATGGTATGATCAAAATTCAGGCAACAGACATGTATTTATGATGATTGCAGCATCCCAGGTCATGGAATCAGTATTTGCGATTTTCCCAGCATGCTTCCAACAAGCAAAGTGAACAGGGCAATCCAAATTCACTTAGCTACCATGTGATTCACTTAACACATTGGTCATTTCAACTTATATACTGCTGATTCACAAATTGAAGGTGAATTGAAGAACGGAAAGAAGAAAAAGGGGGAGGATAAAGAGGAGGGGTAAAGCAGGAGGGGTAAGGGAAGAGGAGATGGGGAGTAGAGTAGAAGATGGGGAGGAGGAGGAGGAGGAGGAGGAGGAGGAGGAGGAGGAGGAGGAGGAGGAGGAGAAGAAGAAGAAGAAGAAGAAGAAGAAGAAGAAGAAGAAGAAGAAGAAGAAGAAGAAGAAGAAGAAGAAGAAGAAGAAGAAGTAGTTCCACTATAGGTTGATCGTTAATTGAGGAAATCTTCATCATCATTTTTTAACAACCCCATAATCCCTTGCAGGGTGCAGTCTGATCCACTGAATGGAGATAGCAGAATGTTTTAATGGACGGATGCTCTTCCTGTCGCCAATGCACAATTTTGTTTAGCACACATATTCCCAGTGTGCTGAGAGAGAGAAATATCTACCTCTACCTAGGATTGAACTCACAGCTTCCTGATCGTCAGGCGAAATCTCCACCTCTTGGCACCACTCTCATTTGAGGGAACCTTGATGCTCCTATATTCCTTTTCTTCATAAAACAGGGGATTTTGTGTTTAATATAATAGTAGTTCTGTTGAAGGGAAAGGACTACAGACCGACACAATTTCTCCATCCTTCAGTCATAACCAATAGTTGAGATTTTTTTTTTGCCTGATTTATTGCTCAAACTGTGTTCAGCGAAGTCTCTTCGAAGTAGGCCTTGAATAGGAAGGGGAAATGGGAGACCACCTGTTGTTGAGAAATACTCTGTTGAGTATTTGCAGTCTCAGAATGGATTTGGTACAAAGGAAAGATTGCCCTGTGTTATTGTGGGCAGCTCCTCTCGCACAATAATAGTGAGCCGTATCTTCAGCTGTTAGACCATCGATCCTCAGTTTGCTTGTAGAACCAGTAGTGAAAAGGGCCACCCGTCCTTTAAATTTATCAACAATAATGATCGGATCTCTAGGTCTAAAGCCACCTATGTAAGCAAGTCCTGTCTCAGTGGGTTGAGTTGTCCAATGTATATGATGTCGGTTAATATCATATCCAGAAGCCAAACATTCTAAGGTTACAGAAGTTCCTGGAACTGCCATTGCTTCCTTGGGTTGAGTTAAAGTATTGGATTCCAAAGAGCCTGCTAAAGAAAGATAAGACAAAAACAGGGAAACAAAGCATTTTGTTTTAAAGTTTAAGTTTTAAATATTTTTAATATTCCAGTCCAAATGTCTTTTTTTCCTATGCACCCTTGAATTTGGCCCGTCATTAAAAATCATATATTAATTCCAAATGAATAGAGTAGAGTAGAGTAGAGTAGAGTAGAGTAGAGTAGAGTAGAGTAGAGTAGAGTAGAATAGAATAGAATAGAATAGAATAGAATAGAATAGAATAGAATAGAATAGAATAGAATAGAATAGAATAGAATAGAATAGAATTCTTTACTGGCCAAGTGTGATTGGACACAGAAGGAATTTGTCTTTGGTATATGCTGTCCCGATTAAAAAAGACTAGTGTATATTGGAAAAGATTTTGGAATATGGGAAAAAAAGACATCTTCCCACATTTCTACATAGGCTTCTATGACTGTTGTCACAGAATCGGAAACAAGGCTGTAGCAGTTTCAATGAGCAGATAAAGCTCATTTCAGTTGAGAATTATGGAATTCTCAATTCAGGATTTCACAAGAGTTACAGATGTATAGATTGTTTACGATAGTTCAAAATTAAAATGGTGAAACTCAAGCAAATTCTGAAGGACTCAGGGAGGTTAATCTTATCACAGCCATCTGCCATTCTGCTCTGAAATTATGTATTTCAGAGGGACAACAGTAAATATCTTCATTTGTTGTTGTTGTTAGTTGTGAAGTTGTGTCCAATCCATCGCGACCCTATGGACAACATTCCTCCAAACTTTCCTGTCCTCTACCATCCTCTGGAGTCCATTTAAACTCATACCAATTGCTTCAGTGACTCCATCCAGCCACCTCATTCTCTGTGGTCCCCTTCTTCTTTTACCCTCAATCTTTCCCAGCATTAGGTTCTTCTCCAGTGAGTCCTTCCTTCTCATTAGGTGGCCAAAGTATTTGAGTTTCATCTTCAGGATCTGGCCTTCAAAAGAGCAGTCAGGGTTGATCTCCTCTAGGACTGACCGGTTTGATCACCTTGCAGTCCAAAGGACTTGCAGGAGTCTTCTCCAGCACCAGAGTTCAAAGATAGATTGCTTAGAATAGTTCAAAATTAAAATGGTGAAATCCAAGCAACATCTGAAGGACTCAGGGAGGTTAATTCTGCACCAAAATTATGTATTTCAGAGGGACAACAGTAAATATCTTCATACATAATATTTATCATCAAATACATTTAATGAAAAAAGTTAATCTTTGGTTGCTGTGATTCTCCTTCTTCAGAATTAGGAATGTTCCATCTCATACCAGTTTTGGATAATTTTGCACAATACCTGTAGTTGTTACTCACCAGGCAAACATAGAAGAAGTGGGTAAATGTAAGGAAACCAGCCCATCCTGTAATATCAGATCAGTATTTGCCTTGGGTTCAAGTTGTAAGGATGACATATTTACAATGACCAAATCAGTTGATCATTTGCATGTTCTCACATATTCCAGGATGAGGAAATAATTTTGCATTTCAGAAATTTCCCTTCTTTTCTTGGTTGCTGCCTATCTCCATATGGTTCTAGTCTGGACTGCTTTTCCAAGAAGAAAACACAATCCCTTTTAACAATACTAGGGCAGAGGGGAAGAACTTCCCTTTCCCTTCTTACTGTTCTTGTAGGCTTCTCCCTCAACCTCTCCTATCCTTCTGAGAGGAGAAGGAGAAGGAGAAGGAGAAGGAGAAGGAGAAGGAGAGGGAGAAGGAGAAGGAGAAGGAGAAGAACAGAATAGCAGACTAATAGAATAAGAGAGTTGGAAGGGACCTTGGAGATTTTCTAGTCCAACCCGCTCTTCAAGCAAGAAACCCTATACCCGTGATGGTGAACCTATGGCATGCGTGCCATCATATCGGTGGGCACGTGAGCTCAGCTCGAGTGCACATGTGCACGCTGGCCAGCTGACTTTCGGGTCTTCTGGGCCCACCGGAAGTCAGGAAGCAAGTTGGTTCCGCCTCCAGAGGGCCTCCGGGGGGATGGGGAAGGCCGATTTTTTGCTCTCCCCAGGCTCCAGAGCCTTTCTAGGAGCCTGGGGAGGGTGAAAACGGCCTTCCCCAACCCCCAGAGGCCCTCCGGAGGCCAGAAACAGCCTATCCAGGGGGATGGGAAAGGTCATTTTTGCCCTCCCCAGGCTCCTAGAAAGGCTCCGGAGCCTGGGGAGAGCAAAAAACAGGCCTACTGGGCCCACCGTGCCATCACATGCCAAAAGCAGGGGAGTCACGTGCACGCGACACCCCCACGCTCCCCCCGCTTTTGGCACACGATGGCAAAAAGGTTAGCCATCACTGCCCTATACTATTTTAGATAAATAGTTGTCCAATCTCTTTTTAGAAACCTCCAGCTTTTTGAAGCACACACAATGTTTAGTGGTAACAGTGGTCAGTTCCTACTAGTTCACAGATTTATATCACTTTGCTAATACCATGACGATAAGCCACTAATAGTCATCATCAAGTTTCATTACTTATCGTATGGATATTTTTAAATATAATAGTGGCATAATTAAAAGTTAGAAAAGGGATGGAAACTAGAGAGAGGGGGATTAATGGAACACACGTCTTTAATAATAAGAGGGGAAATCAGAATTTGAACAATGGTAGTATTAAGAATATTTGAACAATATGCTGATTGGCATAAAAATAATATGCTGAAATATTGAATAATTAAATAATGGATGATTATAATTTAACATCAAAATGTGTATTACTATAAGAACCATATAAGTCTGTTAAATGTATATAAATATGATTATTAATATTCTATTTGTAGTCAAAGGAATGACACTCAGAATATGGTGATTGGCATTAAAA